GCGGTGGAGCGGCCCCTCGCTCGGGTGCGAGCTGCCCCCTCTCCCCTTGCACCCTGCCCTGCACCTTCACGCGCACTGCGGGCCCCTCACGCTGCCAGAGACGGTGGAGACGGAGCTTTAAAGGCAACCAAGGGGCATCCCGTTATCCCCTGCTGAGAGCAGAGAGGAATGGATGCCTCACCACCACAGCCGCGGGGAAAGCACCTCGCACCCTTCCTCCTCTTCCTACAGGAAATGATATCGTGTCTTCACTGCAGTGGTATCATCAGAGATCCAAAATGTCCTCCCCCAGAGGACCCAAACTGTGAATGCTAAAGCAAAGTGAACAGGATGCCCTAGGAACGACAGAGAAAAGTAAACAGCTGCTTTGGGGTTTGTGCCAGCCAGGGGTTTCTTTGGTGGCCAGAGCTTGGCTGTGTTACACCAAATGGGCTGGGCTGGGGGCGTCCACGAGGGACTGGAGGAAGGGACCTGCTCATCCTCACCCCCATGGCAAGGGAAAAGGAGAGCAGCATCAGGTGGCCCTCGGAGGAGGACAGCAAAGCTGGAGTTCGTTGGATATGGTTTTCTTCAACTATCCCTTCAGGAAACAGCTGTGATTTTAACAACCTCTTTTACCTAGTGGCATGTCCCAAACCATACTGCACACGGAGTAAGGCAACCAAATAAACATTACAGAGAAGTTCAACTGTATTTTCAGGCAGCCCTGACAATCTCCCCTAGCCTGTACATAACCATCTGTTGTTTTAGATGTGGTAATTGCAGGCACACACTAAAGTATACTTCAGCAAAAGAAAAGGGAATTATATGTACTCTGCTAGCAGTATTCATGGGAACTGTGTCACTCAGGCCCCTTTGAGCATCTCAGACAGAGAGGAAGACTGCATACTGAGAAGGTGAAAACATTAACTTCAGTAGCTGCTTTGCACTAAGTTTTAAAGGTGTCCGCTTAGAATCATAGAATCATAGAATCATTAAGGTTGGAAGAGACCTCCAAGATCATCGAGTCCAACCGTCAACCCAACACCACCATGCCCACTAAACCATGTCCCTAAGCGCCTCATCTACACGTCTTTTAAATACTTCCAGGGATGGTGACTCAACCACTTCCCTGGGCAGCCTGTTCCAATGTTTAACCACTCTTTCAGTAAAGAAATTTTTCCTCACATCCAATCTAAACCTCCCCTGGTGCAACTTGAGGCCATTTCCTCTCGTCCTTTCGCCAGTTACTTGGGAGAAGAGACCGACACCCACCTCGCTACAACCTCCTTTCAGGTAGTTGTAGAGAGCAATGAGGTCTCCCCTCAGCCCCCTTTTCTCCAGGCTAAACAACCCCAGTTCCGTCAGCCGCTCCTCATAAGACTTGTTCTCCAGACCCCTCACCAGCCTCGTTGCCCTTCTCTGGACACGCTCCAACATCTCAACGTCCTTCTTGCAGTGAGGGGCCCAAAACTGAACACAGTATTCGAGGTGCGGCCTCACCAGTGCCGAGTACAGGGGCACGATCACTTCCCTGCTCCTGCTGGCCACACTATTTCTGATACAGGCCAGGATGCCATTGGCCTTCTTGGCCGCCTGGGCACACTGCCGGCTCATGTTCAGCCGGCTGTCGACCAGCACCCCCAGGTCTTTTTCCGCCAGGCAGCTTTCCAGCTACTCTTCCCCAAGCCTGTAGCGCTGCATGGGGTTGTTGTGGCTGGAGTGCAGGACCCGGCACTTGGCCTTGTTGAATCTCAAGGCTTCTCATTTCCACCAGCAGTACTGTTTTCCTCAATTACATATATTAGATAAAACTCTTGAAAGCTAGTTTATGTATGACAGCAATGCAATTATTTTATATTAAGCACAGTTTCTTGCACAGCAACCTACCTGTTAACTCCTGCCCTTCACACAACACGGGCAAACTTGCAGGGAGCGGTGCTTTTCCACTCATCCCTCCAGCCCCGAGGCTGGAAGCTGCTCCATTCAGACTAAGCCCTGTGTGCAGGCTATGCTTTTAAATGGAGCTGAGCTCACCGTCAAGTTTACTAATACTGGCATGGTCTGGGCCCAAACAGGCACTTTGCTGTAGATGATGGAAAGGAGAAGGGTGGCATTTCAGCTTTTGTGGTACACCTCCACCTTCTCCTTGGAGGCTGAAACTGAGGGTCCAGCCCAAAGCCCCTGTGCCTGCTGCCATGCTTTGTACACCCCGCACCACCACTGTGGTGGATGTTTGCAGCGAGGGAGGGAAGGAGGGGGGCTAACTTCATTGTCACAAGTCAGAGGAACAACGCGGGACTCAAAAGCGCACTGCTAAGGTTTCCCCACACAAACCATGTGTTGACTTGCTGAGAAAAAAAAAATACGCTGGGAATCGTCATCACTGCAATTGCTTTGGCAGATAAGCACCTCCCTTTGACCCCGCTCTGAAAGCTGCATACACAGCACCTTGGCAAAAGAAACAAGGTGCAGAAGGATGCAGTCCTCAGCTGGAACAGCTCTGCAAGGTCATGCCTTTTACAAAAATGTCCCCTTGCAGCACAGGGTGGAACAACAGGACGTCCTTCCCCAGGCATGCATACTCCTGGGCACAAGGCAAAACAGCCCCCAGCACCACATTTTAAGGTTATCAGCCCAAGGTTACAAAGAGCCCCTCCCAGGCAGTCCCTCCCAATACGCACCATGGCGGTGAGGCACTGCGATTCCTGCACCGTGGCGGCAGAGCTCAGCAGGGCTGCGAGGATCAGGGTCATGCTGAGGCAGATCCCAAAGTAGAAAGCTGGAAGGAAGTCGGACATGGGAGCTGCGGTCAGACACCAAGACTTAGGGCTAATGGAGGCCTGGTCTGATGCTTTTGCCCAGAGAGGGGCCAAAAAGTGCATTTTGGGGAACTGGTCCAAGAGGACCAGGTTGCAGAATAGAAATTGTTTTATAATTTATTAGTACCCCCCATCTGCATATGCTTTGCTTGTCTGGCAGGGCTGTAAACCTCTGAGCGGTTCCCACAGCTCCAGCAGAGCAAAGCACCCTAAAAGGGTGTTGGTCCACCCGACAGACCACAAGCTGTCAATTATTCAGCACTCCGATAAGGATCCCCCCAAACGGGGGGGTGCTGATGTGCAGCAGCTGTCCCATGGCCCTTATCAGGACTTCATGCGCTGCTAATCTGGTGCAACACTTGCCCTCCAGTTTCCTCCTGGCTAAGGCAGGGTCACAGCCGGTACCCCAAGGCAGGGCTCAAGGACCACAGCACTGCGAAGGGCTTTGCAACCCTCATTCAGGGCTAACCGTGCAAAGAGTTAACACTTGCAAGCAAAGCAAGCGGAAACAAGAGGGGTGGCTGGGAAGGGAGAGCCTGCAAGGCTGCATTAAGTGCCAATCTATATAGCCCCTGGTGTGTGTAGGAAAGGGGGGGGGGGGGGGGAGTGGTCCTTTCGTGTGTGTA